AACACAGTGATGGAGCAAGCCCACACAAGCCCCGCCACTGCAAGCACACGCAGCGGGTGAAGCCAGAGAGAACTGCAGTGTGCTGCAGACTTCGATCTAGCCCTAAGCCTAGCTACACGCATGCGTAATGTGTCATACGCAGGCCTGCCACATGGTAATTGTGACAAGGGAAACTACCCATGAATAAATACAGCTGGATAAGTCCACAAAGGCTTACTTCCTTTGTATTTCTGATTTAACAGGGATCTAATTTAACAGGACTTTTCTCCGGTCCCACCATCCCTGTTATACCAGGTGCAGGTGTCTACTGTATATACAAATCTGGGTCAAATAGATTCTTCCAACTACTTTATTTACCAGAAATGCCCATATGTTCCTAGTTCAGTTTGAAATTAATATCAAAGGAATATTCAAACATTATTAACATGGAACAATTCATTGAGTAATGGACTAAAACATACTTTCCAATTTTGCAACAAAATATACTTTCCAGGATTGTAATAAACATGCTTGGTTTCCATTTTAAATTACATATGGTCTACAGAAAATATGTGTTTACTTGCAGCAACTAAGATCTCGGTAATTCAACAGTTTATGTGTTCATCTGTCTACCCAAAGGTCCAAAAATCGACTAGAGCAGACCTTTCATGACGCGACGACATCTGGGCAAAATTCAAAATGAATTCCTATCCAAAACTGAAGCCATTCTCATCATTATAAACATTAAGAGCTCCTTCACAAACAGCATGTAACTGCCTGTCAGGCAATTGATAACCTCATGTACTACTAAGATAAAACAATCATGTATGTAAAAACCAACCACACCGTGAGATGAAGAACTAGTAGTCAGCCACTCCCTGAGCTCTAGCAGGGGCATGAGAGGAAAAAAACCACACAAAAACCAGCAAAATAAACTCTGCAATAATGTATTTGCAAGAAATTTCTTCAATCTTAGGCCCACAGCGCTCATGACATTTGAGAAAAGTAACTGCAAGATTTGTATTATAGTCAATTACAGGATCACACCACATAGTAATCATCAAAGCAACACATTACCTTTTCATAAGCTGCAGCAATGACCCCGTACTGAAAGGCTTGAGGCATCTCACTGTTCCTGTAGAGGCGGCGGTCCAGAGACTCAACCAGCTTTAGATCGACATCTCCCCTGATCACAGTCGACACAAGTGGCCTGGTCACACCTGATGCCTGGTGAGTTTTAGTTTTAGTAAGAGTTTTACGGCACTTGCAACACAATAAGGTCATATAAGTGCCGAAGAATAGATTGTTGCAAGAGAGTAACATACACAAAAAAGAAGGTGGGGAGATAAGGACGACAGATGTTTGATAGGAAAGAAGGAGCAAACCACACCAGAGCACCCGCCAATCACCCACTGGTGAATGAGTGGTTCATGTCAGTGAAGTAAAAATGAAATCTACTTGAAGATGGCTTATGCTCAATCAATACAATTCTTATCATATACGGGGCAGGAGCAGGGTTGGGGAATAAAGGGGGGAGGGGTAATTTTACAGATTCTGGGATGGATCCTTGGGGGGGGGGGGGAGCAGAGATGGACATGTTCCGACTGTAGTGACCCCAACACTGATGACAACGATTGACAAGGATTGTTTCATAAAAAAAATGTTGTTCAAAGATTATTCTCTTTCTTTCAGCTTTGATAGAATTCTAAATTCATGTCTATCTGCTTTGACTTTTGTAATAAATCCGACAACCTCGTCTAAGAGACACATTAGTTCACAAAAGCCATGGAGACATGTAATATTCTCAATCAGCTGCTTTGAAATATTCATGCCAACTGCCACACAGTACCTCATCACATGCTACCATCCAAATACAGATACACAGGTGAATGCCACATTGTAAAAATAATCATGGTACAAGAAAATCTTTAAGTTCAAAACACACAGCACTTTGATCATTCTTGTATAGCTCACTTTTAAAATAGGACTCTAACTCTAAACAGAGCTTTTTGTACTTTTATGCAGTTTTAGAGAGTAAAATTAAATATACGAGAGTTGTGAACAAGCAAAAGACTATTTACAACTCAACATTTTCAACTTCTTGACTGATTATTATTCCATTGTGGTGTTCATTTGCAGTTACATCACTACATCAGTAACAGGCCATTTACAGCAATATATCTACATGGGGTCTGAAACTCACACCATGCACACGAGCTGCTTCTGTGACCTTGAGCAGCACCTCCTCAGGCACAAAAGGTCGAGCACCATCATGAATAACAACGACATCAGACTCAGCACAATCTGTGAAAAAACATCCGGGACATGCACAAACACCTTGATACCCCAAAGGGTGGCATTAAGAACATCAACATTTCCTTTTCTATCTTTTTGAAAATAGTTTTTTCTTTCTTTAAATTTTAAAGTAAGTGTTTTTTACACCCCGCACACAATTTAAACCAATCTTCCCTGTCCGGACCAACCCAGGCTGAGAAGGATATACAGTATTTCAGCAAAAAGACTGAGACACTCCATAAAATTTTCCCCCTCATTCGGGAATCACATTCTGGTCTTCTGCATGCAACAGCCAAACATTTAACGGCTACATCACAGATGCCAGTATCCTTTTGACGACTTCAGTAAATGAACAGATAAAGGTCACGTATTGCAATATTTTGAATTACGCCCCTTGTACTTCGATTAATTTCTTTACTTTTCTCCTCTCTACATCTCATGTGAAAAATATGCCACAGTCCCAAGTAAACTGAAAAGGAATAACAGGCATAGTCATATTTCATTTCGATTAGAATTCATCTTTCTCCTCACTGCACCTTATGTGAACATAAAAAAAAGACACAGTCCAGAGTAAACTAAAAAGAAATTCTTCAGGGAATCATTTAAAAGTCAATTTTAAAAAAAAAGAAAGTCTGTCTTTCAGTTCTGGTCATATTTTTCAAAACTGACTATGTGATGTAGTCTTGAGAGAAATCTCACCTTCTTGTAATGCTTTCACCCCACAATGGATGGATCTGTGGCGGGTAGTATTGCCGGCACACACTCGGACCTTTGTGAATCCGTAGCTCTGCAACAGCTCCCGAGTAAACACGACTTGATCTGCAGCAGCCACCACAACAATCCGCCGCACCCACAGAACCCTGAATAGACAAATTTAGTTGTCCCAAGTCACCCCAAAAAGAGGAAATAGATATAAGAAGAGATCAGAATTGTTTTTTTTTATGCGAATGATATGAGACAGAATTCAATCAAGTGAACTTATTATCTCAGAGGAAAATTCTTTCTCACATCAACAAAACGCATTAAAAAACAGGTCGACGTCGGCCAACTAGCCTGTGGTGTATGACCAAACTCTTTACCACAGCATGTAAAATATGTAAGCTGGATCCCCATAAGCTGAAATAAGTTTGGTTGAGTTTTTCAGATTTTCCGCTGTGATACTGTATCCAACTTACTGACAGACTGAATCAAAGTACCTACCTTCTAAATATTCAAAAATTGTGTCAGTACAGATTCAAAACATTCACAATCAATCAATTGCTCATTTCCAATGACAAACCACTAGGTCATTTGAATGCATGAGTCTGAGTGAAATAACCTTCTGCTATTAACATGAACTCCTAACTCATAGTCTCAGTTTCTAAATCAAAAGCAAGTCAATCCACTTAAAACAAGGAGATAGCAAATGTGTGAGTACGCAAACACACAAAAGAGGAAAGGGATAATTTAAATAAACTAAGACAAAATATTTAAAGAATACATCATTTTGAGAAAATCAGTCAAAACTAGTCAGGTAAAAAAAATTTCAAATGTTCAAGCATTTTATTAATCAAGAATATTCCCATCATGTAGAGAATAGTTCTGGATGAAAACTACAATAACGTTTTCCAATATAGATTCCTGTCCTATGAAGTTCATAAAAATCATATTTGAAATTAGACTCACCATAACGCACACTGCTTTTTTGGTTTTGTGTTCCCATCCACAAAATGACTACTAAAAGAAAAGAAAATTCTCTGCAGACTGCCATTGATTGAAAGGTTGCAGAATAACAAAAAACTGTGGTTATATAGAACAGCCCACCGAACCAAAGAACTAGAACTCAGATGGCCACTGGATAGGAAAAGTATCTCAATCTAAAGCCTTACCTATGAAAGCTCTCTACTGTGTAGGCAAGGATATGCTTGCCCATGACTTTGAGGAACTGCTTGGCCGTAGGGAGGTTCATTCGCTGACTGCTGCCAGCAGCTGGGATCACCACATCCACCATCGCTCTTGTCAGGGTGACCTCCATCTTACGAGGAATAATTGGAGCGGAGCTATTTCATTGCATTTCTTCCTGCAGAGCACCTTGTATGGAAGTCTTACACTGAAACAGCACTTCGCACACAGTTAAAGCCTCTGTAAATAACCAAAAAAAGTAGTAAGAGAACAGTTGTTAGGTATGGGTAATGCAATAAAATTCATCTTTGAATCTAAAGCATGTAAAACAAATTTCTCTCAGCAGTTTCTCATAAGGACTATATAATGTAATGAGACCAATTAGTCTCTACAATCGAGGTGCTTGCTTCTCTCCAAACCACCTGAAAAGAACCCGTCCCTGGCTTTGCAAGTACTATTAGTGTTTACCTCCAAGGAAGGGTCTTTTGTTAGGTTTTCGCACCCATGAACTCCAAACAAGTGTTGGGCCAAGCATCTTGTTTTTTGGAAAGCATGAAAAACTTCAAGGTCCTGTTAAAGTCCACATTGCATTGCACTTTGCACACAATAAAACACCAAAGAAAAGTCAAAAATGGGAAGGAAAGAAGACCAGTAAAGGTGCTTCAGAAAAACTCTCCAGCAGCAGTAGTAGCCGTAGTAGTAGTCGTAATAGTAGTTGTAGTAGTAGTAGTAGTAGTTGTGGTGGCAGTGGTCTTGTATTTGTAGACTTTACTTTGTAGTAAAAATATAGTATGTAAAGTCAGCATCATGAGACTAAAATGCTAGAAAAAAAAAAGATTTATATTCAAAATGCAAAGAAAAAAATATCACTCACAGTCAGGAAAAGAAAAGAAAGTAAGTGAGCAATATAATAGAGCCTACACTGAAAAAAATGGCAGTGCGGGCCTATCTACATAACTATCATTATTTAACAGTAAAAATAACATAATGTGTCAAGGTACGTTGGAACCAGGCACTCTTCAATATATGTAGTGAATGTTATTATCTTAAAGCTTGTTTGTTTATCTTGCTTTTGGTGAAAAATATGCCCATCTATCTCTGTAGAAGTTGAGATATTTGTAAATGAAGGAGGTGGGGGTCGCCTTGTTTCTGAGTTAAAATTAGCGAAAAAACGGCCTCCAAAGTTTGGGGACTTTCTAAGCTTTTGATTCTTGGAAACGGTAAATTTACATTTTCTGTGCCTCTAATCAACATTTTTCAGAAAAATCCATACAGTTTAAGTATTTTTTAAAGGACGTAATAGATGTTGAGCCGAAAAATAAAAATTCGTCAAAAATTGCATACAGGAAGAAAAATGCCATTTTCTTCTATTTCATTATTTTGACGACGCCTGATTTCACCACGCTGCCTCACATATGATCCCCATTTCGTCTCATAACTCATTGTTGGACTAGTTGATAAGTCTGTACCTTTCTTGGTAACAAGATACCACTTTATTTTACGCAACAACTATGTTCACGATGCCTTGAACATAGTTTGCAGGCTACATTCACAGAGCCCTGAATGTAGTTTGCAATTTAAAAATGATCTACTTGCTCATTTTACCCCCTACCCTTGTCTCTTTTGCTTCATCTTTTTCTCACCACCTCTCACCCTTCTTCCCGCTGTGGCCTTCTTCCACTCTCCTTTATTTTTATTTCTTCAAACGACTTAAATTATTTTCAAATTGTCAAGCGCTGCCGTGTCCGCACATGGGAAGAAGATCGAAGTCGTGTTTTGTGTGCTGAGCGAGCGAGGCCTTGTCGACAGTGGCTGTTTTGTTGTGCCCGCCTTCATCCTTCGTAAACTCCATTGCATTCGGACCACCGCAGAATTATTTTTCATGAGAGTATTCCTGTGCTGTTTCCTTCATTCACTTTGAGCGACCATAGAGCATTTTGTCTTGCCTCAGTGCCAATAATGGTGGATGATTCAGGATGAACGTAGCTAGCAAACTACATTCACGGAACCGTGAAGGTAGTCACTGCGTTTATTTAATGAAATAGAATACATGACAATCCTAATCCTAAAATTCACTGTAGCCAGGGTCCACTGCAATATCATGAAATAATTTGAAATACAGATCTAGACAGGAGGCAAATTAAAGTTTCGAAGTGACTATTCGGACTCGAGTCCGAATATGAAAAAATGTTATTCGGACTCTGATTCTTGTCCAGCATGACATCACTTCCGACTTCATGTGACTCATGACTCCGGCTTCCTGTCCTGCCTCACTCATGACTAGCCTAAGGCTGGGGAGAGACCAGGATCACTTCGGGCAAAATTGCGTTAAATTGTGCTGGAGCCGAGTTTTTATCTCATGATGAATTTGAGGCCGGCCTGAAAAGTTATAGCGCTTCTAATGTTTATTTGTCAAGAGGTCATCAGAAGCAATTAAAGATGGTTCGTTAGAGTGTGTCGGGGTCGAATGGGCGGCCTGCACACGTGTGGCTGTGTGTGCGTGTCGGGGAGGGGGGGCACTATCGGGCATTGAACGTCGCATACCCGTCAGTCTCCACCCCCCCCCCCCGGCAACTGATCATCAATAATAAGCTAGTCTTGACGTAGATCTACGTAATGAATTGTGCCCTGGTCTATGGAATCTAAAGTTGCCATATATGCTCGGCTCTACACAGCAACACAACTTTTTCTTGGTAAACAATCGAGATGACACAGGCTTGTGTATTTGAACGAATCAGTCTTTTTTTTTAACACAGCTCATAAATAATCATTATGCAGGAGCCAAGTGATCTGCTAATCTTCAATTTTACCTTTTTCTACAACAAAGAGAGAGGGAAACATGGGGGGTAGGGGGGGGCGTACCAATGAGGCGGCGGGCATCGGCAGATAAGGTGTGGGGGAAACTAAAAAATGGCGGAAAATTGGAAGCACTGAACGTTAGATCTATGGAACGAAGACACTTCCTTTTTTACGGACCCGTGTCCGAATAACATTTTTTCATGTTATTTGGACTCGAGTCCGAATAATGACGAAGTTTACAGTTTAATAAATTAATAATAGGAGGCGAGGCGCCTGTTTAAATGTAGAATATATTAATTAGGCCACCTCTATTCTCACCCGGGGTGAGAATAGTGCAGGCGGGTCTTGTGGCTATTCTCACCCGGTGCGCGTGTCAACAAATTTTGCGTTCACCCTAAACCACAGAATTCTACACTGTGATAAGAGAAAAATTGTAGAATTCTGTGCTGTGAACAAACGTTCCATTACAACTGTACTTGTAGCCTACTAAAAGCGTACAATTTTGTCTGTGGGCAGGGGAGAGAGAGAGAGTGAGAGAGAGAACAAAACAAAATGGCGACCCGCGTAGTTCGGCTCGATTCGAAAAGTTAAATAGCCGTAGCATCTTTGTAGACAACCAAATTAATTTACTTTTGTGTTTTAACATCATTTTTTAACTTTGTTTTGGTCAATTTGATCGTCCACACCGATAGACAGTATTCAGAAAGAGACAGAGAGAGAGAGAAGAGGGGAGGAGTAGATCTTGCGAGAACTTCCGGGCGGGTGAGAATAGCCACTTTCTATTAATTAATTAAATTAATAATATTACAACTCCAAAGCCTAAGTCAGTAGCCTACACTGTATTACAGTCAGCCAACGACTGTCAGTTTAGGTTGAGTAGTAGCCTGCCTACTATCAGAGTACAGCTAGATCTAGATCTAGCTATCAGTACCGGGTACCGTGGCCGTGAGTACGAGGATGAGAGCGTGCCGTGACACTCACAATCACAACAATTCTAAGATCTCTGTCAGTTAAAGTCTAAGATCTATCTAGCGAGAAATGGAAAAGGATTTGTGAAAGCTGTACACATCGGCAACGTAAACATACCAAAAATCCATAGAAAGTAGACCTACACTTCAAGAAATTCTTAAAATAAGCTTGGCATTTATATCTCCCTGCACACAGCATCTGAAAATTGAAAACACAAAATTCAATAGAGTTGTCGCCCATGCTACGCCACTTTACTCTTTACCTTCTCTGCACGAAGAGATCTTGAGAGAAAATATAAACATCTTTTATTACGACCCATAGATGAACAGTCCGTTACTTTGACAAACTTATGCCAGTTTGATATTAAAAGCACTTTTTGCTTCCAGTGATGTGTTATATTTGTCAATAATTAAATAGTTAATAATAGTTATATTTCATAATAACGACCTGAAGTAGTCTCTCAGAATTTTTCTACTGCCAAAACTGCCCTGTAGATCTAGATTAGCTATTGAACCGACCGGCGACAACAATTCAACAAAGGCCAAAAGTGCAAGGCTGGCCCAGCCAACACGTTAGATTCTAGGCCTATGCATACAAATTACAATATTTGCTTACATAATTGTCACATGTGGATGTATCAGTTTTCGAGAAACGCATCTTGTTAACTGAAAACAGCAGTGTACCGCTAGATCTATAATTTTTAACAGACTACTGTTTTGAATAATAGGCTATAACTATATTATAATAATAATTTTATAATATTTAATATAATGTCTTACCACGAACCTGCAGCTTTTAAAGAGAACTTCAGATGGTAAGATAATAAAATTATATTTTCTGAGTTTTGTTGTTTTTTTAGGTATAATCTAGATCTAGATCTAGATCTAGTCCAAAGTCAAAATATTGAGGCTGGGACGACATTGATGTAAGTCAGAGTCAAAATTGAAAAGTGGGCGCTTTTTCGGTAGTTCCTACCCCGCAATTGTTATTCACGGGTTTTAGCCCCAAGAGTAGAGGGGTTTCAGGGGGGCTTGCCCCCCTGACCTAACAAAAATAGGAAGGGGGGTTTCAGGGGGGCATGCCCCCCTTTATTTTACCACAATTTAATGTTTTGCTGTTGTTAGGTTTGATATCTTAGCTCACCGCGAATCAAACGTATAGATCTAGATCTAGAAGTAGGTCTGGCTCAAATAAGGGGGTTGGGAACTACCGAAAAAGCACCGAAAAGGGTAAGGATCTGACACATGGTCTTGGATTGGACTCCAATTGATTTTCAAATGCCAGTCTAGCCGTACTTAGATCTAGGTTTGGCCCAATCGACTCAATCCTGTTAAGTACACAGGTCTCATTAGATCTAGATCTAGATCTAGTAATTATTCAGGTTCAAATACATGCAAGTCAGTAAGGCACCTTTTGGTTTTGTCTGAAATACAAATACTTTAGGCATTGCAAACTAAAATTTTCATTTACAATTCAGCCATCAATATTAAGTACGGCTAGCCTGGCTGTCTACCCGTACTTAAGTACGGCTAGACTGCCAGTCTAGCCGTACTTATCTTAGGCCCTATTTACATTAGAAAACAGGAGGTTTTAAATACATGCACTGTCATTAAGGAACCTGGTTTTGTCTCAAATACAAATACTTTAGGTACTGCACACTAAAAATGTATATTTACAATTCAGTAGGCCTATTTTTTGTAAATGGTCAGTCTAGCCATCATATTAAGAATAAGTACGGCTAGATTGTAAGTCTAGACTTCCAGTCTAGCCGTACTTAAGTACGGCTAGCCTCTTCCATTCTAGATTTCTAGATCTAGATCTAGATGTACTTTTTTTGGCGATTGTCAAGATTTCCGCGTTTAATTCCGATGTGCGTTTTTCATAGCCTCAGGTATGTTTCGCTTTGGTCCCTAACCCTAACCCTAATCCTAACCCTGACCCTAACCCTAACCCTGACCCTAACCCTAACCCTAACCCTAACCCTAACCCTGACCAAGGTTAGGGTTAGGGACCAAAGCGAAACATACCTAAGGCTATGAAAAACGCACATCGGAATTAAACACGGAAATCTTGACAATCGCCCTTTTTTTATCTTGATTCTTTTATTGTAATTATTAATAGCCTTTCTTAATTCCATGTCTATTTTAATTAGAAGCTAGATTTGCATTTTTAGTCTCAATTTGCGCAGGTTTATTAGGACTGTATCCGGAAATATTATATCACGCTGCTTTACTTCACTGACTCCATTAAATTAATCATAAAAGCCCATTTATGTGATTAGTGTGTAGCTAATAATAATATTAATTAATTAATGTTTTCAGGTCAAACACCAGCATCAGAGGGTAAATACAATGATTGACAAGTATGTCCCTGACAGCAAGTGACCAGCAAAAGGAACAATTTTAGTAAAATCAAGGGGATATAAATAAGCCCCCTCGCTTCTCCCTCCCCCATTTCATGGTAGACTTTTCAAAACTTTACTCTATAGCATCTTGACATGAATGTCACTTTACTCAACAGGGTGGGGCAGCAAGCTGCATCTGGTCTGACAATGGAAAATCTCACACCAGTCAGCTATCAGGTCACCACTCATGGAGGATTTGCGTATGATGCATACAATGCAAGAGGTATAAAATTTGTTACCAAAATGTCACGCAGTTTGCAGAAAGTTATATTATAATGTGTATAAATGTCTATTAGTTTGTTTTTTTGGCTTGTGTGACAGTTTTCTCCTGTTCCCATGTTGTTCCATCCTACAATCTCTTATTTTCTCTTTGTGTGTACAGAACAAGAAATTGTTACTTTCATGGATAAAGTACTTAAAAATAACAATAACATTGACTTTCTTTCTTTACTGTTTTCAACTAAATTTTGTGCCCGATGGTTGATATGCTTGAGAACACACGCACACATATATAATATATATATAATATATGTATATATATATATTATATATATATATATATAATATATATATATATATATATATATATATATATATATATATATATAAAATATATATATATATATATATATAATATATATATATATATATATATATATATATATATATATATATATATACATAATACACACATTTTTAAAGGATTTCTCATGCTCTTTTCTCTGTCCTCATTTGGTTACAAATTCAATTAAACTTTTGGTATAAAATCAAAAGGTTTACCCCAAAAAAATATTTTGTGTATTGTGTTGCAATGGCTTTTTTTCTGATCCCGACCTCCCAACTGTATGGCATTCAGTGTGATGAAAATAAAATTCATTTGTGTCTCTCTAAACATTTTCGTGGAATGAGAGGTTTCTAAAGAGAAAAGTTTTTAAAATCCTAACTTCCACTTTTTGTTTTCGTTCCATTGTTCCCGACTGACCCCATTTTTCTCGGATACATGAAGTATGAAGTGCTTTGTAAAGCGCCTTCCCCTAGCAATACTACAAGACTTTAACATGACAAATTAATGAAAGATCCATCTTTTGTACATCATATTGCATTGTGCCTTTAGACAGCATGTGTTTACAAGTTTTTCATACAATCTGTACGCAAGTATACAAGTATCACTTCTGTATTGTGATTTATTTTGTGAGCAAGAATGTATTTCAATTCATTCTGTCTAGGAGATATTGTTTTAATGATGTTTTATTTCTTCCCCAAAGAGTGGGGTTGTTTTTTTTTAGAGCATTTGAGCAAAGAAATGAGTTCAAAACTATGTTTGCAGATATCAGTTTCAGATACAGGACATTGTGTGACTGAATGAAACTAAAGACGTTTTGTATTTTGTACTTTTCAGCAATGCTAAACCCTTGGAATGTCCTGCGTCTGATAGAGTGTTCCCGGGCTGTTGGCTGGTGGAAGACTTCACTAAATGAAGAAACTGGTCCATTTATGGAAATAAACAAGTTGGGTCGTATGTTTTTCACTGTTGCTATGTCAATGAAATTCCACCCAGAGGTTTATGATACAAGTGTTGAAAAGCGGCCCATAACCACTCACAACGAAATGGCACATATAGGGAACACGTCGTTCAAGTACAAGACAGCAGTTGAATTTGGGGATGCCAAGAAACCGTTAGTGGAAGTAGAGAATCAGTTTGTGTTCATAGACCCAGAGTCTCGCAAACCCTGTGGGCCAGATGACTGGTGGAGGGCCAAGTACTCTTCCGAAATGAGCCCGACAGAAACAGCATTACGAATTCCAGCTCTGCTAGAGCCGGAAAATGGTGAAATCTGGGAAGAGCAAATCAGAATCTTGCCCAGCGACATTGACCCGTATATGCATATGAGTTGGGCTCATTATGTGAAATACTGTATGGATGTGTACACGCTCCGTCATGTACGTTTGCATGGATACACTGGAAATGGAGACCCTTTTCGCATGGTGAAGTTTTTAGAGGTTAACTACAGAGGTGAAGCATCAATGGGTGATTTGCTGAACATAAAGTTTTGGAAAAACTTTGATAATGAGAATATATATAATTTCCTGTTTGTAAAAGGTGATAAAGTCATCTTTGAGTGTAAAATGGGCTTTTTCCCCTTGGTTAAGTCATAGTGATCCTTACTTGTTCTCCTCCTTCCCCTTCTTTCCTCAGTCGGCCCTCATAATAAACTGATTCAAAAGTTCGCACGAGCAAATCCAGTTCCAGACTGATTTATATTCACTCGGACATGCTTTGTTCAGTCGATGTTGGTCATTGTTAAAGATTTTATTAACTTTTATCTGAACACGTTTTGATATAATAATAAGAATTCCTTCTACCTTAGGGGTGTTGCATTTTATCTTCCGTGCTTTCTTTATCGGAGTATTAACTTTTATTTTATTTTTAGATGTGACATTTCCACCCAAGAATGTAATGCTGAAAGGGATGGTACTCTGCATGGTAGCTGTGTCAAAGATCAAAAGTATGGTCAGAGAAGATATTAAATGATTGTTGTTTTCTTTTTAAAATGCATGCGCTGATTTTCTTTCTTAGATGTGATTGTGATGTGTTCATACCAGGTAGACATGTCACCAGTTGTCATTCCTTAGTATTTGTAATGAGAGACAATTTAAAGTTAATGTTCCTTTATTTCAATAGGAAGGATTTTTTCATGATTGTCTTAAGTCAAAAATTGTATCTTTTGTTCTGTCTACACATCCAACAAGAGAAGAATATTACAACTATACAAAAGTGAGAACTCTTCGATACAAACATTTTGTCTGAGTTAACTAGCAGGCCACTGGGCTATAGAGACCTACAAGATCTAGTACTAGTGATGTAATTTACGGTACCTATATCTGCAAGTTTGTGGTTCAAATTTGAATGAAGTTTTCTCTTTCATTATGGATAACAGTTGTTTGCCTCTGAACCTCACCACTGTTCAAATAACTCAGTCTGTATGTAGTACTAGTACAGTGGAATCCTGTTATAACGAGAGGGAGGGGACCGGTGCAAAATGTCCGTTAAAGCAGGATTCTCGCTATAAGGGATCCAGTAATAGATTCAAGGGAAATAATAAAGTAGGCCTAATCTATGAGTTTGTTGTTCTGTTTAGTTCTTTTTGCTATCTTCCCTGATGATGATTTTGCCGAACATGACCTCTAGATCTTACTTGATCAAAAATCGAATCAGGTTTCTTTCTCTAGCACTAATGATGTTGACTGACAGCTCGGCGTTGGCGATCAGAAAGAAACGGCTCTAGGCTAACTCGCCCGCTGTGTTTTCCCCCACCCCACCACACCCTGTTGTGCATTCCATCTGCTTACGCACGTCTCACATTCCCTCCATCCATCACAGCACTGTGACCTTTCCATCCTCACATCTGAGAAGTGAGGGGCATGGTAGGCCTTAATAATCTAAATAGGCTTACGCTGGCCTATCACGCGATGCGTTCTGCTTGTCTGCGCATGCCACACCCTCCCTACTTGGTTGCTCCGGCCTTGTTTGTTGATACACGTGGGCTCTCCCATTCTTTGTTTCGCTAGATCACCAACACGTTTCTCAACTGGCGAGGTTTTATATTATGTATAATTGGCATATCCGCTGCGCACAGCAGCAGCAATATTCCGCTATAACCGACTCGCATATTTGTCTGGTAGCGCTATAGCGGTATTTTATTTACAATAATAATTTTAGAATAGTGTCTTTATAACAGACATCTAATTTTTTCCTGACACGTTATAAGTGGACTCCACTGTAATACTGTAGTAGGTAGAACTAAAAAATTTAAAAAAACAAAAAAATTTTTTAAAGTGAAAATAACATACATAATAATAATATGTATGTATGTATCAGGACATGGTGGAATCAGGTGCTTGTCAGTTTTGGTGCATATGGCGTTATTGCTTTAAACTTTGTTAATTTGTTTTGCTATTGCAGAAATACCCATCTGTCTTGAATAGTAGAAGTCAAAAGGGCTAAAATTTGAAAACTTTCTTTAATAAGACAACACATCTAGTCAGAGGTTTGGCACCCTTAAAAGGCATGATACAAACGTTCGTCATGTGTGAATTTTCTAATTTTTTATTAAAGTCCTCTGTAATTTTTTTGCTTTTGTCAATGTTTTTGAGTTATTATAATTATTATTTTGAATTCGTAAGTATAATGGATCTGTTGAAAGTGCTGTGGAGTTGTTATTTGACCCAATTAGTCAAGTATTTCTGAACTTTTAACAATGCTTCATGTGCTATGGATTTCCCCTTCAGTAAACACACAGGTAGAAGAGACTTTTTAAAAGAATAAAGAACAGATTTATGGGGTTGAGAACAATATATCCTAATCTTTCATTGAAGAGTGAAGTTTCATTGTACTACTGTTATTTTCATGTGTGTGAAAATACATTAATAAGATTTTCTTCAATTTGATTTGTACCCATTTTGTTTTGTCAAAAGTATTGCTCACTTGAGATTCTCTTTTTTTGCTGTTGTATTTTCTAATTGTTTATAGTTATTGTCATTGGTGCCATTCTTTTCAGCTGTTGCCATACATGATACAGTCAGGGATTGACCATTGCATTTGACACATGATCCATTATTCAGGTTCCATAACGAAAAATTACAGAGATATCAGTCGATGAATAGCAGCTTGTATGAGCTATCCATGATTTTGAGTTTTCCATGTTTATGTAATCTGTGCCCAACTCTTTACATTATATAATGTAATATACACATGTGCACCTGATGCCTGTAGATATGTGCTCATGGGAAAAGGTGCTATTAAAAAGATCTTTATTATTTTTATTTTACTTGTTTTATGCCAGGTCAATCTTGTAGCAAATTTTCGTCTCTGATGTGATTCTGATTTATATCAGTGCGTCTATATAACTATAACCAGTATACAACATGTACAACTGTGATGTAAGGATATTATTGGTAAACCACTCTCTTTACCAAAAATTATCAAAAACAGCTGATTCACTCAGAATACACCCCCGGGGCAGTGCCACTGACTGTAGTGTCTTTAGGCCATTCTCAAAGGGGGGACATATATCTCGTTCAAGCACAGTAAAATTGTAAATGGGCTGATTCATGTCACGCTCATCACTGTGCCTGATCTACAACAGGGAACTGCTGCTTTTTCTTTCCTGATCCTTACTATTCTCATTTCCTCTATGTCTTTTGTATGTTTGTCACTCCCTTGTGACCTGCTATTTTGGGGTGCCTTGATAGTCGAAGCAGACCTTGTGCTGTTGAAACTAGAGAGGTGAGCAGTCTAAGTCTGATTCCCTGTAAAGACTTCTCTGTTGACACCCACCCCTTGGCACTCATATGACCTTATGCAGTTGCGAGCGCCGTAAAACCCTCTACTATTTAAAAAAATAAACTCACAATACTAAAGTGGTTTTAAGGTTTTAACCATGATAGCCATAACATTGTTACTCTTTGCAGTTTTTTCTTCTGATCATTTTCGGTACATAATTGAGATAGTAAAAATTTTTCCGAATTGCAAAAAGATAAAATATATATATGTAGAAAATTTGGCTTATTTGACTGATTATGAACAGATTTAAAAAAACACTGCCTTTTCTCATTTCTCTGTTTTTTTATTATATATTATTTATTAGCATTAGCTCATAAACTTTTACATTTTTTAAATTGTACACTTACTATTCATGTACACTATGTGTGACCTGAAAGCCAGCTATTCTGTATTGTAGTTTGTATTGTTGTTGTGTGTTGTACATCATTTCCTTTCTCACCTACATCAGGGTACAGGCCACGAACAAACACTTTCCATCTTTTCCTTTCCTGGGCTAGCTTCTAGCTTCTTGATAATATATTATTCTTTGTCTACCCACTTTTCTGTACTGTACTTTAAATTAATATTAATAAGTGTGGCTCTTCTCCAGGTTCCACCTGACGTACAGTCATCATTGTCTAATTTTTTTTTCTGAATGATGTTTGGTAGAATCTCATGAAATTTGAAATACCGGTAAGCATTTTTGTAGAGTTCTTTCTTGAGAAAAGTATGTTATTGTACTGGTGTCAGTGAGGGAATGGTGAAGATCTTTGCTTTTGCACTCAAAAGACCTGGGTTTGATACCTGACTTGCATTAGAAAGTTTATTTTCAAGTACCGGTATGATCTTTGTGTTTCTGATTGATAAATGGTACAGTGTTGCCCTCTCTGCCCAGACTGGCTTTGACAGGCAGGGTTTAAATCTGCCCGCCTCGTAGAATATCAAAATATTGTGTCTATAGGGTTATATAGGAGTGCAAACCATTTTAAATGGAATTCTATACAGTATATTCTATGTAATTTTGCTAAGTAAAGACGGGAGATGAAATCTGACTTGAATGCATGTCCATCCAGGAAAAATGTGTCTTTCGTTTTCATGAGCCCATTGTATCTTAGTCTCATAATAGACTACAAATTAATCAGGCAAAATCACGTTTACAGTAGGCTTATTGTTTAAAAAATGTAAATCAGAGATTACTTTTTAGTATGGTGCCTTAGTGCCATTATTGAAGATAGGGTCCATAATAAGTGTTTTTGTTTGGGGGTTTTTTCCCTGTTTTGCATAGATCTTACCTTTTGAATTAGCAAGCGAGCAATATCTTTTCCCATGAAGTGTCTTGGAGAGACCTGTATTTTTCCATAAAGTTTTCTACCAGTTAAAGTTGTCCATGGAGATCTGTGCTGAGGTATAAAATAGTTATAAATTGTTCTGCTGTGGAAACTGAACCATTTGATGCTATATCATTGTCATTATTATTATTATTATTATTATTAATAACTTTATAATTATTATTGTTGTTGTTGTTCCGCTGTGGATGCTGAACCATTTGATGTTATATCATTGTCATTATAATTTTTATTATTATTATTATTATTATTATTAGTAGTATTATTTAGTATTATCATTGTTGTAATCATTCCTTATTGTTTTTGTTTGTTGTGATAGAGGTGTTGTTGTTATTAATGCTCTTGTTGTGACTAACATTAGTATCATGATTGTTGTATGAGAATGGTTTAAAAGAGTGGGTACATACATGCATCTACTTTTGTACTTCAATCCTTTTTATCTGCGGTATAGTATTATATTATACTGCCTTTTTAGGGTTTTCACAGAGTATTATCTAAATTCTTTACACTGCTATGAACGTGGTGCTTCTTTTACAGAATTCTCCGATTAATTTTAAAAAGTCAAACAGCATTTCATATGTCATTAATTAATCAAAATGACAAAATACTGAACTCAATTCAATATTCCATATGATGATGTAATATGATCATATTATCATATATTTTGGTATTTATTAAAAGATTTATTTCCCATCACTCATATCAGTTTGTTGCATGGGATTCGTTGTTGCATTTAGAACGAGTGGTCTCACTCGTATTGATAAACATGTAATAACCCTGTCACGCTCATAACTGTGCCTGATCTACAACAGGGAACTGCTGCTTTTTGTTTCCTGATCCTTACTATTGTCATTTTCCTCTACTTCTTTTGTATGTTTGTCACACTCTTGTGACCTGCTATTTCCGTGATAGTTGAAGCAGACCTTGTGCTGTTGAAGCTAGAGAGGTGAGCTGAGTAAGTCTGATTCCCTGTAAAGACGACACCCACCCCTTGGCGCTCATATGACCTTATGCAGTTGCGAGCACCGTAAAACCCTCTACTATAAAAAAAAAAACACAATGTGACCGACACTTGTATTCAAAATGAGTCGTCTCACTCTTTTTTTCGGTGGGATGGGGGAGGGGGGGAGGGGTGCACCGCGAGCCATACAAGAGGCTTGTGAGAACAATTGATGGCCTTGTACTAAACTGTCCCTGTGGTTTTATGCAAAAATAATTCTGAAATTATGCAAACTGAGCCCAAAAATGTGATATTATACGATGCTTTTAATTTTAACAAAGAATGATAAAGGAAAATAATCAGCAATTATGCAAAGAATAATTAAATTTTGCTAAATTATGCGGGGTGCATAAAACCGCGGGGACAGACGAAAGTTGTTCTTTGTATCTTGGAA